AGGGAGAACGTCTCTGAGCAGAGCGGGGCATGCAGAAAGGCGGGCACGTCTGGCGGGCGGGCGTGCTTCGTCCTTCGCTGTAACACCAGATCGCCCTGGCTGGGACAGTCGTGGTCAACTGGAGCAACGAGCAGCAGGACCCGTCCTGGGGAGGGTCCTCTGCACCAGAATTAACTCCTTTTCATGAGTCGGACAGCCCCAAGTTGAGTGCTCTTCGGGAAGATGAACAGTGTTAAGACCAGTGACTGTTCTATCCAACTGGAGACTTTTTACTGTCTGTGGGGGAAGAGGCAGTGGGTTGGCGTGGTGGTCCACTCATCGGAGAGGATTTGGTGGCTCACCGATCGGGAGGATTTGGCATCCCAAAGCGTGAAGGAAGGTCTGCAGAGCAGATTAATTTAGTAGACTCGTTTGCTTGCGTAGTTCGCTCTGTCTGCCTTCCGCTGGAGCGATGGTTATTGTCACACAATCAATGAACTGTGCTTGTGTAGCGTAACCTGCGTATATACATAGGTGGGTGAGTTCCTGGGATGGACAGGCAGACGCTGGTAGAGCAAACATGAACCTGGTAGGGTTTTCATAAATTTAACGTATTTTTTTCCTTGCTGCTTCTTTGCACAAAGGCAATCTAGTTGCAAACGCAATTGCTGCTTTAAACTTTTGGGGACGTTTCTGTGTATAGATTGTTGTGTTGCAAATAGCATTCCTGTTAAGCCCGTGGACACTCTAAAAACATTTAAATCTAATATCTTTCAGAACTATTAACGCAGAAGTGTTCCAAATCATTGCTAACATCTAATGCACAATTTGCAGCTTTCTGCTTCAAAGCGTGCTGCTGAAACATTTGCAAATTTTTAAAAGTAATCGTTCACTTGAAGTAAAACTAAACCAAGCGAGAGCTTCAAGGGAAGTTAGGTTTTCCCGAATTTTGGAATGCTCTTGGGTCAAAGAAAAAAGCTTTTTAATTGCTGACAGTTTGGTGATTTCCAAATGACAAACCTCATTGGAATGATTTTCTCTGATTATAACGTTTGCATTCATTTGACTGGCAAAGCGACTAACAAAGTCATACTTCATCCAGGCACTGATTCTTTTTTTGCTTAAAGGTTTTTGTAATTTGTGAGAGGAAAAAAGACTGAAACTATTATCAACCATTATATGTTATTCATTGACCACATGTTTGTTTGAAACGGCCATCGCTTGGTGGAATGCAGGCTATATACATTCTCTTCCATAAATTAGCACTAAAAAACTACCTAAATCAGGTAGGGTTTTGTTGAGCTTGTTGTATTATAATATGAACCAGACTATAACGTGGATGTTACTTTTGCTTTGCATGTTAATTCAGGTCCTGAACTCCGATGGATGGAGCTCAGTACGAACAAAGCCCGCTGACTTAGAGGCGTCCTGCTCATGCACTGAGGCCCTTCGGGCCCCGCTGTGTAATTGTGTTCTTGATTTACATGGACATTCTAATTTTCTTTATAACATAGTGATTTGCTCCTAAGTATTTTGGCAAGGGCCTGCTATTATTTTCTTCTTGAGGCTGTGATAAAACCTGCGTGTTGGGGGAGCGTGCGGGGGAGAATATAGGGGCAGAGGATTGGGAAACCTATTTTAGCTCATTTTAAGGGAAAATATTTTCTCATAAAGCAGAGGGGCAAACCCACCTGCCGCCTTTCTCCCCCCAGTAAAATAAAGAGCAAAACAGTTACATGAAAGGATGTGTTTCTGGAATTGGTATCTGTCTAGTACAGGAATACCGTGGCACGATGCTTAATTAGAAACGGCACGTTTCTAAGATGCGGTAAGGGATGAGGGGTTTGGGATGGATGTTTAAAATCGCTGTTGGATGCCAAAGGTAAAATCATTGCTCTCGTGCAATGGTTTTGAATCCTGCAGTAGGTAACGTTGAGCAGAGCGATTTACCGGGGTCTGAAGGGGATGATTTCAGCAGTCGCAGGAAATGCATCGGTGGCACGAGAAGGTGAAATGCTCCTTTAACACACACAAACCCGAGGTGCAGCAATCTGGAGCGTCTCTAGGAGTTTTTGAGATTTTTTTTTTGGACTGAATCTTGCGGATCCGCTGCCAGTCCTGGCAGGTGGAGGAGTGTTTTCCTCTTTGCTCTTTCTCTCCTTAGGCTTTTGGATTTATGACACGTGTTGCTCTACAAGCAGAGAAGATGAATCACCACCCGGAATGGTTTAATGTCTACAGCAAGGTAACGTGTTCACCAGCCCTAGTTACGGGCATGGCAAGTTAAGGACACCAAACCACTGGCCCATTCTCTCTGCCCTTTTTTGTAGCTTATATACAAGATAAGGGAATGGAAAGATGTTGCGTCTTTTTAAAGAGATTTGAGATTTTAAAGAGATGCTGAGATATTTGTAGTGGTGAGGAATTAGGAATCAACCTCTTTGCGGTTGTTACCAACCCCATGGTTTGGACCTGTTGCTTCACGTCTCTGGCTGAGACGTAAAAATAAAATAGAAGCCTTTAAACTCTTATTTAGCCAACCTGAATAAACAGCTGTTTTGAAACTACTCACCAACTCTCATTCCTTTCTGTGCAACCAGTCGGGAGCCCAGCGGTGTGGGGTAGCAGACCGTCGATGTGTAGGTACCTAAATGGGAGCCTGGCAGTCTCAATTTAGGTTTGATTTTTTAAAAAATTGTGGGCTCCTATGTCTCAACATAGCAGCTTATAAAATTGGTTTATAATATTACCTAACTGATGGTGGTCTCGCATTTACAAGGGTTACAAGGTATACTGCAACCCTCGAATGAAAGGTGCCGTGTGAAGGGGGAAATTATTGCTCTCCCTTTATTTTTATTTTCTAATACTTCTCACTGCATTGTATCGAGTTGTTTGTGAGGAACATCCCCACCTCTCCCCCCTAACAGAGGCATCCCAGCACAGGCTCCTCCTCGTCAGCCCTGTAGGTCGCCCTGTTTAAGGGGACATTAAATGATCACCGGACAAAGTCCTGATCACCTGCTCTTCATGATTTTCTTGGCTTTCCAGAATATTCAGAATTTATCTTTTTTTTTTCTTCCTCTTCTCTCTTCCCAAAATCTCAGTCAAAGGAGAGACAAAGTAATGCCCAACTTGTCATCTGGCTTAGTCTAAACAAACCCATGCAGGCAGCTGCCTCATAGCAAAATGCACCAGTCCGTTTGTTTTTCTTTTTGAAATTAATCTGCAACAAGCTCAACAATTTTTTCACCTTCAGGGTGCTGGTTTTTAACAAAACACATGAGCCCCTGACTCCGCTGTTGGCAGCTTGGTCACTGGCCCAGGCTCTTCGTGAAACCGATGCGTGGAATTTAAATGTAAAGAATGAGTTATTTAATCAGACACCTCCTCTTGGATGAGACCCAAGAATGCAACGCCTGTTTTATTCTGCGAAGGGGCTCGCTTTGGTTAGGCTTCAGGCTCTGTTAAGCCTCCTCACCTACAACGTCTTCTGGTTTACATGAGGAGTGAGCGTCCAGCTCGCTGCTTGCCAGGAGCATCGCGTAAAACCAGTTCACTACAGAGACACGCGGCTTTCCCGATAAATTGCTACTAAGCCTACGTGGCAGAGATCAAAATGGCTTTGTAACCCCTTTCTTCTCCTTTTTGACAGGTTCACATAACACTGATTTCCCACGACTGCGGTGGACTGACCAAGAGAGATGTGAAGCTGGCTCAGTTTATTGACAAAGCTGCTGTCTCGGTGTAACAAAGATGTAAAACGTTTTAATACAGTGTCCACCAACATTTTGTTTTTAAATGGTATCCCTCATTCCTTGTATCCCTGATTTCACAAACCCCCTGAGAACAAGGTATTTTGTAGAAAGAGTGGCTTAGCTTGCTTTGCCTTTTAGTCTGAGACCCCTCTGGATGCCTGTGCTTGTCCTTTGCCATTGCTGGCTCCGCCTGAGGATGTAGCAAATAAACCAGCGACAAATAAGTTTTGAACAATCCTTTTCTAGAAACTTAAAACAGGCTGGAATGAAAGCGGGAGCCCACCCTCAAGTGTCGGTGTTCCCCACGCCCACGGGGGCTGAGGCTGGTGGGAGGA